GATAAGAATATATCATCATTTAAGAATGTCATTATTCTAGACCATAATATCTTACTAACCTGAATGTGCATAAGGTTAGAGTTGGCACCTAGTCTAATTCTTCTTTTATATGCCACAATCACTATGTATGTTAAAAAAATACATAGTTTCTCTTTCTCCTTGACAGTTGGTTTTTGTAAGTATACAGTTACATATTAACATAATGGTAATATAATTGCTTTTGCGCTTATAAGCATTATATATAATGTGAATCAAGAACACTGTAATCTGCCTGTGTTGTGTAAACATTAAAATAACTAAGAAAATGAAGTTTGGACAGTTCGGTAATGATACAAGTGTGAGAAATATAGCTATTCATAACAAAGTATGCGGCTATGCTTGAGAAGGCTAATTGTATAATGATAGAAATCAACGTACAGCATGATGAAAATGGCTAATAAACTTTGAAAAGTTATGCAAAACTAGAGTATGAGAACAGCAGAAGGCTGTAGAAAATCAGACTAGGAAATGCAATGAAATATAGCAATAAAGAAAAGCTTATGTAATTCTGATTTACACACTGCCATGGCATGGAGAAGTAATAGTCCCTTTCTGTATGACTTAGTGGGCTGACAAACTGTATGCTGCATCCACTTGGGTGTTTCTGTAACAATAATTAAAACAAAGTAAAATTGATATTACAGAGGTCCTTGACAAAAATGTTTGAGAATGTTTTACTATATAATGTACTACTAAAACCAGTCATTGGGGACAATTAAACGCAGCATAAAACATGTAATTCTTTAATCTTCTTTTGCATTTTGATTAAGAATTGCAGATAACCATGTGAAGGGTATTCTCAAAGCAAGGGGCATAATTGGCAAGAGCCCTGGTACTCATTAACTGAAGATTACACTTAAAGCAAATTGAACACCCATTTGATTCAGAATACAAAGAGCTGTTATGGCAATGGAGATTAAGTACAATGAAATATACTATATTTTTGCCTCTGAGGGTGCCAACAGCTAAAAGCAGGATTGAAAAATTGTCATGATTTTATGAACACAGTGGAAGAACTGCACAAGTGAGTGAGATGTGGCCTTCTTGGTACGCCTAGGCACAAAGAGATTACTATGCTGGGAATTAGCTGCAGTCTAAATATTATTCATTAATGAACAATTGAAACAATCTGATCAATAAGTGACAAAAGCATTTATCAGCATCTGGAAATCCTTTTTACCAATCAGCAGTATTTGAATAAGAGAAAGATGTCAACAAATTAGAAGAAACTGAGAAAAGGTAACAAACTGATTAATGTACTAAAGCATTGATTAATGAGGAAAGATTAAAAGACTTAAATATGTGAAGGTGTTAAATGACAGCTCATATCTTATATATGGCAAGAAAGGAGAAAAATAGTTTTGAATGGATGAATGAGAATGAGTAATATGGGCAAACGTATTTGTGCCAGCCTTGAGAATGTTTTGAAGCTTCAACTACTGTTCCTGCCACTACTCTGAATAAAAGTCAACAGAAGGTCTTAGTGTTGGGAGGAACCAAAATTCACCGGAGAAGCATGTATTTGGAACTGGGTTATGAAATGTAAGGATTTTGTTTTGCAATTGCTGCAGAACTCTTTGTCTCCTTTGGCTGCTGGTAGAAAAAAAGAAATCCCTCGGTGTCCTGGTTTTCCCAGCAGCAAAGTGGGCTCAGTGCTATTTCTTGATTCATGGGGATGTTGTGACAGGAAATTCAATGAGAAGAAATGTATCTCTAGCTTGGTTCTCAAAAATCATCTTATTGACCCAAATGGCCTTTTAGTTATGACTTTCAACTGAATAAAGATACTCTGGGAAAGAAGAGGCAAAACAAGTGTAAGAAGAGAAACAGGTCTGGCACATGTTGAATGGAAAAGGGGAAAGCAGAAAATGTAGGGAAACAGCTGAAAAATTAAAAATTAAAATAGGAGGGGAATAGAAAAGAACTACAGGAGTGGAGTAGAAAATGCAAAACAGAGTGGCATAGCACAAGAGAAAGAGTTCCCAATAAGCTTCCCAATAACAACTAGCCTGAACATGTTTCTGCTTCAAAAATTGGTGAGGCATTTAGGCAGCTTTATACACTGGAAAAGGACACAGCTTAAGAGGGCAGCAGGGTGTCAGTAAAATGGCCACTGCCCCACTGCCTGTGTTGCTTGCCCCAGAGACACAATGAAATTATATTGGTGGGGAGAAGGCCGAAGTAGTAGTCAGCCTTCTTTTTCCTGCCTCCTAGAGCAGCAACATCAATACCAGCTTTTACTGAGCTCTTGCCCTAACTTTGTTCTCATTACTGTGCCAGCAAATTCAGTTTGGCCTGAACTGTCTTTTTTTTTTTTTTTTTCCCCTAGCTTTGAGTGGGGTTAAATACTTGAATCACTTGATCAAGCTTCTGGACCAGAAGTTAGGCATGTGAAGCTTTAACAAAGAACAAGTAATGATCTGAGACTGGTGCCACATTATTTAGTCCTGGACTGAAAGGAGCAAGAGAGTACTGTGCTAAACACTCTTCCTGTTCAGCCAAGAGCCTTCCAGGTAAGAAAACTTCTCCACAATTATGTTTGCATGGGTAAGTGTGGCAAGAAAATCCTGTGCAGGGTCTGTTGGATAGACTTCCAAATCCTACACAGTGACCTTTCTGTAAATCTTGGGCCATGCATCTGATTGCTGAAGCACTCAGGAATAATACAGAAGAAATGCTGTGGTGCTGAAAAAGAAATTTTAATTAAAAACAAAGTTTAGCTAATGAACTATGCATGAAACTAAATTACATAGACAGTGGCACCTGGTCCTTTCCTGGGTTTGCACTCATTTTGTTCTATGAGAATACAGTGGGACTGTATACTGAAGATCCTTATTCATATTATCCAAGTTGCAAATATTGAGGATGGCAGGTTTAGGTAGGTGTCATTTGAGATTTTGGGCACAGAAGATGAATAAAAAACCATAAGTTCAACTATTGAAAAAACTGAGTATTTTTGATCAAGTAACAAAAGTGAAGTGGTTTATATGACAGAACTGAGCCTTCCATTGAGGACAATTCTACATTTGGTTAGATAACATCTTTTGTTCAGGACCAGATGCAATGGGCGCGAAGTGGAACACAGGAGGTTCTCTTTGAAATCAGGAAACATATTTTCACTGTGACGGTGACCGAGCACTGGCACAGGTTGCATAGGAAGGTTGTGGAATCTTCATCCTTGGAGATATTCAAAAACCATCTGGACACGTTTCTGGGCAATTGGCTCTAGGTGGCCCTGCCTGAGCAGGGTGGGTTGGACTAGATGACCTTCAGAGGTTCCTTCTAGGCTCAATCTTTTTTGTGTTTCTTTGATTCTGTGAATCCTGTTCCACTTTATACTCTTGATATTTTTAATATTTTCTTCATAGCTACAGGAGTTGGAAACAGGATTTTTTGGGGGTAAAAACAAAAGTTGAAACTAATAAGTACAAGTCTCTGATGAAATACCTGGCAAGAGCAGGATTCTACTGTCTGATGCATAGGGCCACAGGGGCCTCCAAACAATACTTTAATGGTTTCACTAAATTATAGATCTCTGCTCTCCATTTTGTTCTCTAAGATGAAATAAAACAGTGCTTTCACGATTAAGTGTATCTGTACTGTATCCAGATCTCTGTCAAATGAAATCACTCTCACTGGTCTGGCAGATCCTCTCTGTTCTTTCATATTCCCTGCTTCCCTTTGTTTGTACATGTTAATTTCTTCGATTACTGGAGAAAAATAAGGTGGAGGGGGTGGGCAGAAACTGTGTGTGTACCAGTAAGAGACTGAAAAACTGCTCGTGGTGTTCAAGAACTCACCAAGGATGCCAATTTCCAACAATGTGTAGAGCTTCCTACTTTCACAGAAGTACAATTGGAGGTGAGCAAAAGTGAAATTTTGGATAATTGCAATAAAGTTACATTTACTTGCCAAAGATGGAAGTTATCAAATGTGGCAGAGTCTAGTGTGATCCCAAAGACATACAAGATCTGTCATTTTGTTGGTGTGGCATTCCCTCCCTCTGCAACAATTTGCACTGCAGAAGCAGCTTGTTCAAATTCTTTCTCAATTCTTTTGCTCTTTAAGCTGGCAGGAAAGTGTTTAGGTTTTTTTTTTTTTTAATACATGTATCAGAGAACAGAATAAGAATGAATACCCAGCTGGCATGGTGTGAATTTGCCAATCAAGCATGACTGTATCACTCACTTTAAACTAGCTAGAAATGCATCCAGACAGATAGCACTACTCAGATGTGGCTTTTCTAGATTAAAAAGTGGCATGTCATTCATCCCAGGAGTCAAAAAATAGAAACAACAAAAAAAAGCCAAAACCAAACCCTGTAAGATTTACTTACAATCTATCAGGACTTGCTAAAAGCTTTCACACTAAGGGTAAATCATGCCTGACAAATTTGGTGGCCTTCTACAATGGGGTTACAGCAGTGGTGGATAAGGGAAGAGCAACTGACATCATGTACCTAGATTTGTGCAAAGCATTTAACTCTGTCCAAAGCACGATATGCTTTTCACTACATTAGAGAGACATAGACTGATGGATGGACCACTTGGGGGATAAGGAATTGGCTGGCTTGTCACATTCAAAGAGTTGCAGTCAATGGCTTGACGTCCAAGTGGAGATCAGTGACGAGTGATGTTCCTCAGGGGTCAGTATTGGGACTGGTGTTGTTTAACATCTTTATTGGTGACATAGACAGGGGGATTAAGCGCACCCTCAGCAAGTTTGCCGACAACATCAAGCTGTGTGGTGCGGCTGACAGACTGGAGGGAAGGGATGCTATCCAGAGGGACCTTGGAAGGCTAGAGAGGTGGGCCTGTGTGAACCTCATGAACTTTAACAAGGCAAAGTGCAAGATCCTGCACCTCGGTTGGGCAATCCCAAGCACAAATACAGGTGGAGAATGGATTGAAAGCAGCCCTGAGGAGAAGGACTTGGGAATGTTGGTAGATGAGAAGCTCAACATGACCCAGCAAGCCAACTATGACCTGGGCTGCCTCAAAAGAAGTGTGACCAGCAGATCGAGCGAGGTGATACTCTCCCTCTACTCCGCTCTTGTGAGATCCCACTTGCTGTAGTGCATCCAGCTCTGAGGCCTCAAACATAAGAAGGATGTGGACTTGTTGGAGCAAGTCCAGAGGAGGGCCACAGACATCAGAGGGCTGGAGCACCTCTCCTACAATGCTCACCCTGGCAAAGAGAAGGCTCCAGGAAGACCTTATAGCAGCCTTCCTTATAGCAGCAGTATCTAAAGGGGGCCTACAAGAAAGCTGGAGAAGGACTTCTTACAAGGGTTTCTATGGATAGGACAAGGGACAGTGGCTTTAAACTAAAAGACTTTGTGGATGCCCCATCTCTGGCAGTGTTCAAGACCAGGCTGGATGGGGCTTTGAGCAACCTGGTCTAGTGGAAGATGTTCCTGCCCATGGCAGGGGTGTTGGAACTAGATGGTAGTTTAGGTCCTTTCCATCCCAAATGAATCTATGATTCTAGAATATAGTTTGCATACTTAAGCTGAAAGACATGGGAACTGAAACAGAGCTGCAAATTCAGTTGGGAACTCCCTACAGCCGACTACTCACTGCCCTGGAAGAGGAATGTTTGAACTGAGAGAAGTACTGTTACTGTTAAAGTCTACTCTGAGACCAACAGCTTATATTTGCATATATTTTCATTATTGTGGATGTGGAAGTGCTCTGGACACAAAGAACTGTGCAGGACTGTCAATAGAAAGGAGGTTCACAATATTCTGAAGAGATGACTACAAAATCTTGAGGACTGGAATAAAAGAAATTAGATGAAATGCAATAATGGAAAACATACGGTCATGCACTTAGACATTTTTTAAAAGCATTTCTATTGTGGACTGTAAATGACAGACAAATAGAAGAAGTTGCCTGTATTTGTCACTCACAGCATCACCTGAACCACCACTGAGATTCAGTCATATAAAAAGCAAATTGGCTGTATGAGAAAAGGTAATTTTGGAAGAAATCAGGAAAGAATACCTCCATTGCAAAGACTGGCAATAGTTTGTGAAAGCTGTTACATTCTGCATGTCAGCTACGCTAAAGAAAGCTGAATTCAAACTTTATCTAGTGCAGTAAAATCTGAGTTACAGAGGCTCTGTCTTACAGGAGATTAATAATACGTACTGATAGGTTATACAAGCCAAGAGTGGCTATGACTACTGCCTATAAATACATTACAGATTTAAATGCAACAGAAAGATAAATGCCTAACTGAAGCACTGGATGGCAAAGGGACAAATGGGTATGAACTGGTCTTCAGTGTGTTTGGGCTGCGTGTTAGAAGGAGCTTTCTAACACAGCAATGAGGGCAGTGCTGGTCTAGTCCTCCAGCAAGAAGTAGAGGAAACAGCCTATTTAGTTTAAGATGGATCTAGTTGTGTTTATGGAAAGAGTTATATGGAGCATTTGCTCCTACAACAGCAAAGTACTATTTTCAAAACACAAGATCTGTGCCAGTCCCATGGCCTAAAGATCCCAAAGGTTTACCTGCTTAGCAGACCAGACAGTAGTATGCAGACCTAGCAAGCTTTAACACATCCTGGCCAGTGTAGCTCAGCAGCCCAGTTTCTTTCTGCAGAACCAGCATCATGAAAGTTAATGTGCCCCACCTTACTGAGGAACAGAGCTCTTCTGACATCTAGCATCAGCAAAGAATTACAGAAGAACATTTACTTGGCAGAAGAAGCCAGTATCGAATCCCCTACGCCAAAAGGAAATCGCTCGGTCTTAGTAATACAGGACTTATCTCTTCATTGCCATATTTAAAAAGGCAACAGTCTGACTTTATGTGTCTGACCACTGAGCCTCCCCAAAGCTTACTGCTGGATTTATGGCCTTACTCTTGATTGCTCTGGTTAACAAACTACTCAAACATCTCCTCACACAGGAGCTATACCTCAGTGCAAGCCAGGTCTCCTCACACAAGCTCTATACCTTAGAGCCCATCAGTGGCATGCAGCAGCAGAGAGACCAAGGAAACAGGCAGTTCTTGTTCCTGAAAAATAATTGGTTTGTACAGTGGATTAAAAAACTTGTGTGAAATTGACAACTGAGACAGGAAAAAAAATCTCGTTGAATGTAAAGCATTGTCCTGTGTTTTCCCTATGTAAAAATGGTCACCGTGCCGTCAATTTACACAAAACTTTCAGTCCCACAGATACATACTGCGGGTCTGCACTCAAGACACATGCCTAACACCCTGTACCTGTGCAGTGCTTCTGACCTCTGAAGGGTCTCCATGTAAAGGATTGGAAAACCCTTAGACAGTAAAAGCACTGTGTTACAAGTCACTGCCTTCACCGTAAACATATTTATTTATTTCCATCGGTACAAATGCTCCTGCTATACATGCTGGGCTTCCGTTCAGTAAGAATTAAACACATCTCTTACAATTCAGCAATAGCAGAGATGGTCCCTTTGCTTTCTTCCCCAGCCCCACTCACGCTGGCTTATTAGTGAATAATAAATAAACCATCCCGGACAGCGACAAACGCTGTGCCAACGGCTCTCCTTCCTCGACACCCCTGGGAAACCCTCTCTGCTTTATTCACCCATCAGTGCTATCCCCGCTCGCCAGCCTCCGGTGCTCACCACCAGCCCTGCCCGACCTGGCGCCGCCCCGGGACCCCCCACTCGCTCCCCGCGGGGGCGGCCCCGCCGTGAAGGCGGGCGCTGCTTACCCTGCCCGCCGAGCGAGGAGAAGCCCCTCACCTCCCCTCCGGTCCCGGGGGAGGGGGCTGCCATCACGTGTACTTCCTCCCCCTTCTCTCTCTCTTCCTCCTCCTCCTCCTCCTCCTCCTCCCCCTCCGCGGCGGCGGCGGCGGCAGCAGCAGCAGCAGCAGCAGCAGCAGCCGCCTCTCGGCTCCGCTCCCTTTGTTGCAGGCGGAGCGGCGGCGCTGCCGGGCGCCGCGCACAAAGGAGCGCGGCCGGGGCGAGGCGGCAGCGCCGGCGGACAGGCGCGGAGCCCCCAGCCCCACCGCCGGGAACAGCCCTGCCCGTGCCCGGGCGGCGGCGGCGGCAGCGGGTCCGTGCGGCTGCTGCGGCGGGGATGCTGAAGGTGCGCTCCGGCGCGGCGGAGAAAGGAGGGTCCCCGGGCGGCGCCGCGGGCTCCGGTTGATGCTGCGGGCCTGCCACCGCCATCCCGCTGCCGCCGGCGCTGGTCCTCGGCCGCCCCTCGCCATGCTGGGAGAGAGCCCGACCGCCGCCCGGCCGCTCCTGCGGGCGGGACCCCCGCTGGCGCTGTGCTACACCTCGGCCCTCCTGGTTCTCGCCCTCTCCGCCCTGCCCGCCGGCCGCGCCTCCCATCCCCTGCCCGGCTCCGAGTGCCAGGGCGGCGGCAAGGGGAAAGGCATCAACTGCTCAGGTAATGCCCCGCCGGCTCCCGCCCCGCGCCCATCCCTGCGGGCAGCCCACGCGTGCACGTGGAGGAAGGGCTGAGCGCGGCCCCCCCGCTCCGCCCGGCCCGGCCCGGCGCTGCGGGCGGCGGAAAACAAAGAAGCGGCGCCCGCCCCGGCCCCGGGTGCGGCGGGCCAGCTCCCCGGCCGGCGGGGGGATGCCCCTCTCCGGGGCGGGGGGAGCCCCCATTCCATCCTCTCCCAGCCGAAGGAAAGGGTTTTGCTGCCGCCTCTTGGCTTTTTTTTGTTCTCCGCTGCCCCCCGCCGCGGTGCCGGCAGGTGCGCGCCGGCCGCCCCGGGGGCAGCCTGCAGCGCGCCCCCTCCTCTCCGTCCTCCTCCCCTCCGGTCCGGCCCCGTCCCCGTCCTGCCGCAGGCAGAGAGTGCGAGCCGGGCGGCAGCCGTGAGCGCAGCCCCGGACGGCGCTCACACGGACTGTTTCTCGGGTCTCACTCTTGCTGTGTGCCCACAAAACCCAGGACAGCCTCTCCGTCCGTCCTTCTGCCGGCTGTTGTGTAGATTCACTCTGGATGAGGTGTCGGCAGCAAAATACCCTGATGTGCTCAAACTAAGCTTTTTAGTTTTGTTTTTTTTTTTTTTTTTCTGCTTTGTTTGCGTGACATATACATAATATACGTAAGTATACGGTGGTATTGTAGGGTTGCAGTGTGTATGAATTGGTTCGGCATGGCAGCAGCACGTTTTCTTAGATCTTGAGAGATATGGTGGGTTTAAAGTAGAACCAAGTAAATACACACAACATAAAGTTTACAGTTTTTCAGAAAGACTTGTTTGTCTTCTAAAACTACTATCTACAAAAGGGAATTTATTTTTTTCCTCCAAAAAATGTCTGTGTATGCCTCCTCCTGCTTTTTAAAATGATAGGTTTATTCCACTGCACAGATCGCCAGCAAGAGCTGTGCAAAGTGCCTTCTCCAAGGTGATGAAGGTTTCTCACCCTGTGTGCAGAGCGCCCTGCTCCCATTGTCTTCAGTGGGATTGGAAGGCAATTTCCACATTGGAAGGAACTCTCAGTACCTGGCAGGATGAGGTCCCCAAATTGTAAAACGGATTTCAAGAAATGAGTGAACGGAAGAGTGATCTTCCTCCCAATTACATTTTACAATATGGATAATGCTGCTAAAGCGGGCTATCAAATTCACGGACCAACAAACTGTGGCGAAACGATTTTGCAATATAATAAATCTACCATACACTCTTGATATGCTGCTTTTTTCTTCATTTTACTCAGTTTAGATATATACTGTTTACTGTGCGATATCACAGTCCTACTGCTTTGCTGCTGCCTGACTTTTCATTCTATTTGTATGAATATGATGGTTATTTTTAAAGAGAGGTTAATAGGTTAATGTGTCACTGGCGTTAGCGGCTTACCCGTTAGAGACATGTGGGTCATTAGACCATGGCATGTGCATAAATCAGTGAGATTAAATATGGGAGGCTGGTGAAATATGTGAGGAAGTTTCTAAGATGATGTGGAACACAGGGATACCATTATTTAGAAACCAACACAGAAAGAGAGCTTTCCAACCTGGAATTAGAAAACCGTATGCTGTATCGAAGGCATTCAGAATTATTCAGTTCTACTAAAAATAGGCAGAAGCAAGTATATGTACTATATACATACTTGTGGTGGGCACTGTTTTTAGTGTAACTACAAAAACATGGAAAGAAAATTTCATTTAAAATGCAGTAGTCAGCTTCTGGTATGTGTTAACTGTTTTGTGCAAAACTGCTGGGCTTCAGTTATCAACTTTAATTTTGAAAGAACTAACATCAACATACAATATCTGGGTCAGATTTTCCCCTCACTTACCTTTGCATAGCTTCATTAACTTTTACTGGAGAAGCTACTCCTTGAAAAAGATGTGTTTCCTGTAGGTTCACTTGGGACCAGATGTTGGCATTGGCACCTTTCTCAGTGGACTGCTACCATGTACATTGCTGTTTATAAAGAACACTACTCCTACTTCTTCCAATGTTTGGACTCTCTAAATTACTTTACATACTCAAAGAAGAAAAATTCTTCTCCTTTCCTTTGCTGTTTTATCATTTTTATACGAGCATCAGTTTGACCTGCTGCCCTGAATAGTTTTTTACACTTCTTGAGAGGGTTCCTGGGCTTGTAACATTTTATCATCACTAAATGATGTAGCTACCTGTATGTATTTGTTAATTCTTTTCAGAAATGCTCTTTTATTGCTACAGAATATGCTGCTTAATAAAGAGTTTGCTGTAGCAAAAGAACATTGCAAGGTGGAGGACATAGGCAGACAACATGAAAATTAAGATAAGCTTTTTCAGCCTTGATTGTGCTCCTTTGGCACATGCATTGCAGCTTGGCCTTTTGTTAAATTATGATATAATTGCATCATCCTTGGCCAAGGGAAGAACGTACGATCAAGTGATTAGAGAAGGAAACGGAGAATTAAGATATATCTGCAGTTAATTGACAATCTGGACTTGTATGTGTTTGTTCATCTGCCAATCTTTCCCCTGCTAAGCTAGGGAAATAAAATAGTCCCATTTTACCCAGAATAGGGTAAAAAACAAATTGGTATTTCTTTTTGGAAAAGAGAGTCTTAGGTTGATGTTTTGGAGATGCTATATTATTCCCAGCACTGCCTGTAGTCTTCTTCTGTAACATTTCTGATACTTGCTGGCTGTCCATGAGCCAGGTGGCATGATGATTGCTGCTCTGCTCAGGCTGTGAGATAGCTGTGAACTACAGGGAGTTATTGAGCATCCCATGTGTAAAGGTAAGTACAACATGTAGCTAGTTTGTGAGCTCCTAATCTGACGGTACTCTCCAGAGATACACACTGCATGTGGGCATCTTCGGTTTCAGTTTCAGTCTGGTTGAATCTTCAGTGTGAGATACACTCTGGTCACCTGTGTGGCAGCCACAGGGGTTTGATCATAAGTGACCAGATGCCATGGATTTTGGTGGAAGATACACAGACTCGATAAGAGATATTATTGCTCAGTGCCTTGGTTTGGGTCTGTACACCCGGGATTTTAATTAACAGGGATATGTTTCCGTGGATAAGCCTTTCGGCGTGCTGTTCCTTCATGTGATAAAATAGGCTTGTTTGGGACGATTCTGTGCTCTGCCTATGAGTCTCATAGGCTATGTGCTGTCCCCTTTTTTCTTAAGTTCTCTTTGAATGAATTGGGTAAAGATAAAGTTGTGTCAGAATAGCTTGTTGAGGACTGAATGAGGTCAAGGAAAAATTAAGGACGCCTCTTTTACAAAATTCCTCTTCTGAGGGGTATGAATGCGCAGTCAACATATCTGAAATTGTAGATAAAAGTAGATGGAAATTAAAGATTAAGGAGAGGGAAGGGAATAGAGGGACAAAGAATCTATCCTGTGATAGGGTGATGGCTGAATCTATGATGAGGCATTTATTGAGCATGGAAGTACAAGCTGTCAAAAAGCTTGCAAATTTTTAGCAAGAACAGAAGAGAAAGGTACAGTTGAATCATCCTTCAGCATTATCTCAACTTTCAATACGCTATGGAAACAGTAGAAAAAAGAGAGGAGGGAAGATGAGAACATGGTAAGCCAAGAGTACAACAAACATAAGCAAAATTCATGTGTTTCAATACTTTAAAATGTGGTAGGATGAGATGGGAGGGGTAGACATCATCAGTAGGGCAAAGGCATCTGAAGGTTGAACAACAAGAGTGGGTCCTGAAGAGGGATGAGAGTGGAAGATACTGACTGGTACACAAGCAGAAAAGAGTAAGGAAGCACTATGAGAAAAGATAGAGGGGGAACAACTTAGAGAGGATGGACATGGGTGGCAATAACTGGCCACATCATATGCATGCCTTTTTCCATCGTGTGAACAGAGTTTTAGAGGAAGAAGAATTGGGAAGAGCGCAGAAGGTGAGTGACATGAGCAATGTGAGATCCAGTTTAAATGCAGATACAGTGCATTTGTTTTCAGTACTTTCTTAAAAAACTTTGTGTCTGTCCTCCAGATCCTGTAGCAGGGATCCTCCAAGCTTACTGTCACTGGCTACCTATATGTATGAACTGCCTAAGACGAGGTCTCAAGCTACTCACGTCTGCTACATTTACACTGAGGTGAAGACTTAAGTTTATTAGTGAGTTGGCCAAAATGAATTTTGTGTGCACTCTTTCTCTCTCTAGACTATTGCATTGTCTGAAGCTTAGGTCCGGGCTGTCCCTGCTGTGACAAGCAAGAATGAACACAAGCATGTATCTCCGTTGGCCCAGTCCATGTGACAGATGTGAACACAGATTTGGGAGGATATAAACCTCAGGCGCTGCTGCTCTCTGGAGCTCAGCCGTGGTTTCTGCCTGGGCCCAGTGGGGACTCTGAACCAGAATGAGTTGTGGCCTCAAGACTGGCTTTCATCTGTGCTTATCAGCTAGAACAGACATACCCTTTGTAGTTTTTGTTCAAATTAAGTGGGTGAGGGGTTTCGTTTGGTGTATCATTCTAAGTTACTAATTTATGCTAAAGATATGTAGCCATGTTGGAGAGAATGTAAGAACAAGGGGTGGAAAAGAGGTACAGGTTCAGGTAAATTGGCCCAACTATTTTAAGAAGTACATTTCTTTTTACATTTGCATAGATAAACTTGATCTGAAATGGTAGATGGGACTA